ACGGGAGGAGGGAGGGCAGCGGGAGGGAAGGAAGGAAGGAAGGAAGGAGACGCGTGGCGCTGTCTTTCCAAAACGAAGACATAACACCACAATATGGTTGGGAACAAAAGGAAACAGGCGGGAACAAAGAGGACGGGGCAATCTGTATGCATATCTGTCCGACCCCGACCCCGTCCCACAATTCCCCTGCCCCAGGAGGGCCCTCCTCACCCGCCAACCTCAATGCGGTCAAAATCCACTTCCGCACCCCAACCAGGGCCTCTCCTGGCGACTTGTTCCTCGCGGATGACTTCCTGACGGCCTCCAAGGCCCGAAACGGGCCCGCCCCCTGGAGCCCGAAGCCAGGGAAGAACCTCCGTCGCGTTGGTTTTGTGTCGACCTCGGCTGTCGGAGGGGGTCATCGCGCACGAACGCGCGTGCGCCTTCCCGACGCTGCCGCCCCTGCAAAGATCAGTCGGCATCGGATCAGGACATCGGGTCGGATCGCGAATCGAGTCGCATAGGCACGGGGCCGGAACCGAATCGGACCGGCTGCGCCAGGATGCGCAAAGATGCCCTGCACGCATCGGACCGCGCCGGATTGCCGTAATATCGGAATTGGAACGGATGCACCCCTCGTCCTCCTTCTCCTTCTCCTCCTCCTCCTCCTCCTCCTCCTCCTCCTCCTCCTGCTTCTCCTCCTCCTCCTCCTGCTGCTCCTCCTCCTCCTGCTCCTCCTCCTCCTCCTGCTCCTGCTCCTCCCCCTCCTCCTCCTCGAAGCTCGTGGATCGGACCAGATCGGTCGGATCGAGACTGGCCCTGCCCTGCTGCTGCCACTGCTCATCCCTCTGGGGGCGGGGGGGGGCGCGCCTCTGCCCAGGCCTCCGCCGCGCCCCGCGCGCCCGCCCGCGCGTCGGCCCAGTGCCGCTGGAGGGCGCGCTGGGAGTCCTCGGGCAGGGCTGCGTCGCCGCTGCCGTCAACGTCGCCGTCACAGTCGTCACTGCCGTCGTCGTTGTCGTCGTCGTCGTCGTCGTCGTCGTCGTCGTCGTCGTCACCGCCGTCGCCGCCGTCGTCGTCGTCACCGCCGTCGCCGTCGTCGTCGTCACCGCCGCCGTCGTTGTCGTCGTCGTCGTCGTCGTCGAAAAGCCCAATCCAGCGTAAGGGAAGAAAAATATGTCAGTCGCTGCCGGCCCCTGTTCGGCACGTGCCTCTTCCTGCTTGGCTTCAAGCTCGTCTCCGCTCTCTGGCTGCGGTTGTGTAGTTGGGCGATTTCGACCTTCTGGCTTCGAGCGAGGCCGGCTCTCAGTCCAGGCATGCAGAGAACCGCCGTGCGAAGTACGACCGCGATTATTTACGACCATTTTTTGGGGGTTTTGTGAATTTGAGCCGTTCGAGCACGCGCGGCAGACCTTCCGGAAACTGCCCAATGCGAACCTCGCTCGTGCCTACATGTACCTCGCCACCGCCGCCTTCCTGCACAACGCCCGCGCAGCACGACACCACTGTGCATGTCCAACGGCAGTCCGTCTGATCACGCTTCAATGTGACCATCCCGAACCTCCAACGAAGATTGGTGACCGTAGCTAAAGGCGCAAATCCACTGACGCGGAATGAGCGACACAGCGGCAAGAGAGCGGCGGGCACCGTCGCGGCTAAGAAAGTTCGCGAGGCGCCCTCAACCAACCTCAGCTTGCTGTGCATAGGGAAGGCGCGCGCGATGTGTAGGATGGGCATGCTGCGGCGGGGCCGAGCCCCAAGCCGAGGGAGCTCAGGCTGAGAGGAGGCAGGGCGACCACAAGGGGCGGCTCAGGGACAGGAGAAGTCGTGGGGGAACGGGTCTGGCAGAGTTGCGCGCGTGCGGCAGGCGATCGCCCACCAGGTCGCGCAGGTCGCCAAGACTGCGGTCCCGCGGACGGAAAGCTCTGGCCGCGCAAACGGCTCATGGAGACTGGCCCAAGTGAAGGGGAACTGGAACACACAAATAAATACACACAAATAAAAATATCCCCCATATTTTCCCATATTTTCTGGGTTTTTGTCTTCCCCCCCACTTCCCATATTTTCCCATATTTTCTGGGAATCGCCGATTAATTGTGTCTGTGTGTTTTTGTCCCCTCCTGACCAAGCCCCTGGGCGTTCCTGGAGACCGACCGTGGACTTTTTGCCCGCAGCAGCAAGAGGCTCGTCGCGCGTGAAGCAAACGGTGGGCTGCCCCGTGTGGCGAACTGCGCCTGCGCGGGTGGAACCGCAGGGGAAAAACGACCGCCGAGGGAGGTAGAAAGAGAGAGAGAGAGAGAGATAGAGATGGAGAGGCAGAGAGAAAGAGAGAGGAATAATGAAAGAGAGAGCGAGAGAGAGAGAGAGAGAGAAAGAGACATATATATAGAGAGAGAGAGAGAGAGAGAGAGAGAGAGATAGAGAGAGACAGGCCCGCTTTGACGGTGATCGGACGTGAACAGGGACGAACAGAACGCGGTGCGGGGAACAGTCGCCAGGATGCGTTGGACCCTCTGGCGGCGGCTCGGCGAGGCACTGGAGGCGGCGCGCTGCTCCTGGCACGCAGCCGGCAACGCGGCAGAGACGGAAGCAGCGCAAGAGGGCGCTGCGCTCGCACCTGACGACGGGGCACGGCGCGCCAAATGGTTCAACTCGCGCCCCCCCCCCTGCCCGACCCAACCGTGCGAGCCGAAACCACGGCGCCGAAAAGGCGGCCCCGCCCGCGCACTCCATATCGGGCGCCACCCGTCGGCCCCCCCTGCGGGGCTCGCGAAGTCTGGGCCAGACCTCGAGCTCCCCCGCGCGCCCTGCACCCGAAAATGCCACTCTGAATGGCAGGAGGCGTGGAGGTGTTCCGTTACTGGCAGAGTGCAACAAATCCCCCCCCCCCATACGAACCACCCCGGCAAGCGAGGCCGTTTAGTAAACGCACTCAAAGAAGGACTCGAACAGGGCAGGGCTGTTTAGTAAACGCCCAGGGCCGTTTTGTAAACGCCAGTTGTCGGGTCCGGGTGGTCTTTCCTCCCTTGAATTGGGGCGGTGGGGCACTGTTCGATGCTCAGTAGCACTGTGCTGTGGCGGTGCCCTTGTCTGGCAAGGGAGGAGGCACCACGCTGGCAGTCCCACCGACAAGCGCGCCGCCTCGCACACTCTCACCCCGCGCGGTACCACCAAGACGGCGAACGGCTCGCTGCTGGAGGCCGGCCAGCACGTGCTCTGCGGAGCGCGCGGCCGATGATGCGGACAGCACATGCGCCGACTTCGACAACGGCGATGGGCCCCGCTCCACCACGCTTGCCAAGCCTACTTTCCCGATCGAGTTCGGAGGCATGCGCGGCCTCGCATGGGAAGCATCAAGGAGCGAGGAGGAATAGTGAGGAGGACAGAGGTGGAGGAGAAGGAGGAGGAGCAGGAGCAGGAGCAGGTGGAGGAGGAGGAGGAGGAGGAGGAGGGCCGACGGGGAAGGCGAGGAAGACTGAGGCGGTGACGGCAAACGAACGAGCGAGGAGCGATGAGGAGCGAGGAGCGAAGCGCGAGGCGGAGGAGGAGGAGGAGGAGGAGGAGGAGGAGGAGGAGGAGGAGGAGGAGGAGGAGGATGAGGAGGAGGAGGACGTGGAGTGGTGCAGCCCTCCGCCGCCTGCCTCCCTCCCTCTTCATCCCTCCCTCCTCATCGCTCCTCATCCCTCCCTCCCTCCTCATCCCTCCTTCCCTTTTTTCCCTTCCCCTCTTCCCCGCTGCAGGAGGCCCGTCCGTGGGCCGCCCGCCCGGCCGGGCCGCTCGGCGCGGGCTCTTATGCTGGCGCGGGCGGGCAACCGATAGCACTGCCCGACCCACGCTCCGTCGCTCCCCTCGACGCTCGTGCGGGGGGAGGCCCGGCCGGCCTCTGGGCTCCCGGGGACGGGGGCCCCCGCGGCGGCCCCTCCCCTGCAATGACGGGCATGGAGCGCCGCGCGGTGGGGGGGGGGGGGGGGGGGGCGCCCGGCAACCCGCGGCGCACAGGGGCTGCGCGGCCGGTCTTGGACGGAGGCGCGCGCGCACACGAAGACGGCTCCTGGAGCGCGGAGGTCGGGCAGGGGGCCGGGGCAGGGGCGGGGGCTCCGCGGGGGGAGACCACCGCACGGGATGGAAGAGGCCAAGAAGGCCTGGGGACGCCGCAGCGCACCCGATGGTGTGTGTGCGTGCGTGCGTGCGTGCGTGCGTGCGTGCGTGCGTGCGTGCGTGCGTGCGTGCGTGCGTGCGTGCGGCGTGCGTGCGTGCGTGCGTGCGTGCGTGCGTGCGTGCGTGCGTGCGTGCGTGCGTGCGTGCGTGCGTGCGTGCGTGCGTGCGTGCGTGTGTGTGTGTGTGTGCGTGTGTGTGTGTGTGTGTGTGTGTGTGTGTGTGTGTGCGTGCGTGTGTGTGGGGGGGGGGAGGTGCAGGCCAGGGCCCGACGGTGGCCCAGGGCAAGCCGAGGGACCTCAGATCCAAGAGGACGGCGGTGGGAGGCGAGGGGGGAGGAGAGAAGGCGGGAGGAGGGAGGGAGAGGAGGCGGGAACGGAGGGGGCACGACTGGGGCCCTGGGGGCGCCGGGCCCGCCACCTCTGTTGCTCTGTGGGGGTCCTGCTCCCATTCCGCCAGTTGGCCTGGGCTGCGGCCGCGTCCCGAAGAGAGGGATCCCTGGCGGCCCCCCCCCAGGGGGTTGCTGGCTGGAGTGCCGCACGGAGGCTGACCTCCTGTCAGACCCGCCTTGGGCTGGGTGCTGCGCGGTGGGTGTCGTTCGCGGGGGCCGCGGCGTCGGCGGCGCGGAAGGGTGATGCCGCGCGCCTTCCTCGCTCCTCCTCATCCCTCCCTCCCCATCCCTCGCTCGCTCCCTCCTCCCCCCTCCTCTCTCCTCCCAGCTCCTCCTCCTCCTCCTCCTCCTCCCCCTCCTCCTCTGGAAGTGGAAGCGTCGCCCGTGGGGAGCGGGCGCGGGAGGCCGCCAGCCCCCGTGGGGTCCAGGGCGCCCTGGATGCTGCCGGCGGCGAGGTCGAGCCTCGGCGCTCCGCCGC